GGTCGTCGGGTTTTAGGCAAATATCTGCGCACAGATTATTCCAGATGTATTTCCAGACCAAAATCTGAATACATGGTCACGAGCGTGTATGAGTGTTACTGTTGTTTCTGGAGCTATTCCTGGTTTTGTGGTTGATGACTGACTCAAAGTCAAATATTGGGAATTAAGATTCACAGACTGGAGGTTAGTGCTTTATACTCACTGTAAAGTAGTTGCTGTCAGATTTCTGAAAGTTTTCTGATTGTGCCATCACTTCGTTATTTCTCTAGTGAAACACAAACCTATTGATGACAGATTCTTAATACAAAGATAGTAAAGGAATGATAAATAAAAATACTGAAGGGCTTACATGTTCTTTTTGGCATAGAAATGTATCTTAGAATATTCCGTATGGTTCTTTTATGGGTAGTTCAAAAATACACTCATCACTAGTGCTGAAGAATTCTCAGTGGTATCGTGATACACGTAAAATATTAAAATTATGTTTTTCTGTCATGGAGGTTTCATTACAGCAAAACTTAGAGCAACCAGAATGCTGATGAAAAGTATATTTTGATAGGTAGAATTTTCTGGTTAATTGGGTATTGAGCAGAAAGCTGATTTCGTTTTTAACACTTGTTAATATTCTAAACAGTTAAGATTTTTAAGATCTTTCTCTTTGCCTCATGACGTTTAACAGAATGTGCACAATTTAGAGTTTTCTCCGGGCACAAGTGTTTCTATGCAGGGCCGTGTTTAGAACTTCAGTAGCAGTTGTACAATGAGAAACTACTGAATGAGCGTGATCCCCAAAACTATGTAAAGAGCATGACCTTCTTTTTTTCCCTAATCAAATCCTAAATATAAAGGTTTTTTTTTTGCTCTGGATTTTATTCATTCTTATAAAAGTAGAGTTATTCAAAATCTGATTACTTGGATCAGATAGACTATATCAAAGAGATGACTTGAAATTTACTGCAATAGTAGATTTAATATTTAGATCAATGCCTTGCACACAATAGAACCTCAGTAAACATGCTGAATGAGTGAATGAATGATAACTACAAATCCCCTAAATATGGTGTAGATGAGTCTTGATAGTGAGAAAAAAGGAGTCTAGGTCTTCCTCTCCCTGCCATTCTGCTTATTTAGGGTAAAATCTACTCCTATTTACAGATTTATTGTTACCATTACTATGTTAGACTGAAACTTTCATACAGTCAACGATATTTATTGAGTGCCTGCTATCTGCCAGGCATTATTCTAGGAGTTAAGACTCCATCAGTGAGAAAAAAAGTATTAAAATGGCCAAATCAGATAAAAACACATTATATAAATAGTGGGTGTGCATGTAGGCACGTGCGTATACATGTCCACTAGGGGCTTCAGAAAAGTCTGCTCTCTGAAGAAAATTGTACAGAGCAACGCATGTATCTGATGGAGACGCTGTTTCCATTCTCTGAAATAGCTCAAAGGGGACTTGTTCATACGTGTCGATATTTTCCATTTTGTGTCAAGTTATAATAAATGGCCAATTTAAAGAATTACTAGTATTATAGTCTCAAAATGAGCCAAACTCTCATTTTATTAAACAGGTTGGTTAATTCCAGTGGAATAATTTACTTATTTTTTCCATACACACATAAACTATCTTTGCTTCTCTGAGGTCTGGGAAATGAATGACGATTTTTGGTAGGAATTTTTATCTACTGAAGGGCAGTGTGTGACAGCATACTCAAATGACTGGGTTTATACCAGAAATGAGAAATGTCAATATGTGTTTCGGATGCCTAGACCTGTTTTAAATGAGCATATGTAACAGCGTGTGTGTGTGCGTGCGCGTGCGCGTGCACTCCTGTCCCTGCCCCTGTCTTCAGCTCCACATGCCCCTCATCTCCTACCACCCAGCTTTAGCCATGACTTCTCCGCACGGTCCACATGCTAGTGGACTCATCAGGATGACTCCCCACCAGCCTACTTTTCTATTGTGTTCTTCATGCTGGTTGTAACAAGCCGCTGCCCACCCACATGTTCTTCTGGAGCACCTTGTGAGATGTACTCCGCCCTACACTTCGTTGTTTAATACAGACAGACAATGAAAACCTTGGGAGTTTTTCACATTCCTTTCATCCTGGGGTGCTCACTTTTATTACTGCAAATACTTGTTCTCTAAATGCATGTTACAGCAGATTTGATGTGGCTTGGGAATTTTTCATATTTCTCCCCTTTCTTACGCAGGTGCTGTCATGGCATACTTGTAATACCATGGATAAAACAGCAGGAATAATCATCTCAATGTTTTAAAACATTTGGATGTTTATTTTATTCTTGACAAGTCATCTGAAGGATATTCTCAATTTTATCTTTGGATCATGATTAATCATCAGAAAGCTATTTACTTAGACAAAATTTTCTTGACATCCTTCTGACCCCATCCCCTATAGAATCTACTTCACTGAGTAGCATTTTGGATCCAATATTTTTAGTTGTGGTCAAATTATTTTTGAGATGCTAAAAAGAGAGGGCAAAGAACACCAACAAGTTGAGCTACTATAAGAATAGCCTATAAAGTAAAAACTAATTTTTGTCACCTGAAACTAGACTTAATCAGCTATGGGTGAATAGAAATGACTTTATAAAAATTAGATTTAACATGTTCCAAGAGAAGGAGGAATTAAAATAAATTTTGAAGATAAGCATTTAGGTCTATTTAAAATCTTCAAACAACTGATACATTTTTGTAAGAAAAAATTTGAAAGATACAGAGAAACATGAGCATCTCCTTACACAGAGCTACTAAGTTCCAGCTATATCCATAGGTGTTTAAACTTTGTGTGTATGTTTGATTTTGGGGTTTGAGGAAGGACAGTGGGGTCCAGGGGAGCCTGTCGTCCCCTCACTGCCCTTAGTGGTGAATCTGCATGCAGCTAACGAGTGTTAGCATTTCTGCCCATTGACGTGTCTGAGAAGGAGCTGTAAGTGCAGCCGTGTCCTTGTGTAAGGAGGAGATTTATGCCAGGCAGTGCTTTGCCTATGCTCTCTGCCAAGGAGTTTGCAGTGTCTTGTTCCATGTGTAAGTCTTTAAGCCATTTTGAGTCTATTTCTGTGTATGGTGTGAAAGAGTGTCCTAACTTCATTGGTTTACATGCTGCTGTCCAGTTTTCCCAGCACCATTTGCTGAAGAGACTGTCTTTACTCCATTGTATGTTCTTGCTTCATTTGTCAAAGATTAATTGACCAAAACTTTGTGGATTGTCCAACATAAATCTCAGCAGAGTTCTCCTAGAGCAGTCTACCCAAGCAATAGAAATGGGGGCAAGGATGAACAGATGGGACCTGAGTGAACTTACAAGCTTTTGCAACAGTGAAGGAAACCATAAACAGAGCCAAGGGACAGTCTACAGAATGGGAGAAAATATTTGCAAAGGATGAGCCTAACAAGGGCTTGATTTCCAGAATGTATAAACAGCTCATGCAACTTAATAAGAAAAGGACAGACAATCCAGTCTAGGGATGGGCAGAAGACCTAGACAGGCGGTTCTCCAATGAAGACATACAAATGGCCAATAGGCACATGAGAAAATGCTCAGTATCGCTAATTGTCAGAGAGGTGCAGGTCGAAACTACAA